TCTCAAATCTCACCCCTTTACACTTAAACCCCAAAGATCCTCTCTACAGATCACTCTTGAAGGAATCAACACACCCCCAAGATCACTCACAAATAGAACAAGAAGAGAATTACAAATAAAGATCTCTCAAAGATCAAAATCTCAAGTTAAAGCACAAATTGGTAGGTAAAGATATTCAATACAATGCTCTCTTAACTTCTTCAGATCTATTACCAACCATATTTATAGCCTCTTGCTCGAAAATAGTCATTTTTAGCCGTTGGGGGTCATTAAATGCTCTGCAGGATGCATGGCTCGAGTTGTAGAACTGTCAGGAGAGCCGGCTTAACTTCCTAGAGCCGGCTCTGTACAGCCGAGTCACCATTTCTGCAGTCGGCTTTGCGGGATTCCTGCACATTCTGTTTTCCTCGAGAGCTGGCAACAAGACTTTGAGCCAGCTTTGGAACTCCGACTTTAAATACATTAAATATTCTTCAAAAGAGTCGACCGTTGTGCATTAAATGCGTCCTCATAGCCGGCTACAAAGTGGCAGCCGGCTCTGCTTCCATTTTCCGCGCGCGCCAACACAGCAGTTGAATTTCTGGCTCATAGAGCCGGCTCAACAAAATCTACAGCCGGCTCTCTGCACTTTCGCTTCCTAGAGCCGACTGCAATTTTATTAAGCTGGCTCTCTGCACATTTTTACCCTTTGAACCCTTTTTAATGCAATCTCATTTTACTTACTTTGTAGTATATTGGCAATTTAATTACACATTTAAATAAATCAATTAGTCACTCAAATGTGTTTTGTAATCATCAAAATCATAGGTACAACACGAATTTAAAGTGAAATAAATAAAAAAATCTATAAAAGAAAATTATCATTAAATAAAATCAAATATATTTATTTTTCTTATTTTTTACAAAATATTCTAAAATGGAAATTAAATATTACTAATTAAATATTAACTATATCTTTGAAATTTAAATATATGTATATATTGATAAATTAATTTTATAGTAATTATTTATTATAGTAACTTTAAACATATAGTATTAATTGCATTATGTTAAAATTATAAAATAAATTTTAAGTACAATATAATATTAGTAAGTTTAAAAATATCAACAATAAGAATTATGATTATAAATAAATAATGAAATATGAAATATAACTAAAAATTAAAGAATATAATGTACAAATTATAAGAAAATAAAAAAAAAGAATTTGTTAAATCATTACTTATAATCCATTTATTTGAAATTTTTTTCATTTCCTACAAAAGAAAAATAAACCACATAAGTATAAATATAAAACAAATAATA